AGGGAAAGGGTGTTGGAAGGGTGAGGGGGCTTTCCCTCGGCGTGAGAGTGCTTAGGGGCCATTTGTGGTTTTGACATCCATTATTTTCTTGGAGCTATGCTCACAGCCGGAAGTGGGAGAGGAGGAGGGTAGGAGAGAGCAGAGTCCAGGAGGAGGGATATGGACCATTTACCCTTAATCGTTTTTTCAAGTCTATTTTCTTCGAGTTATGCAGCTGTGTTTCGAGATGATCCATGAGGGTAATAGTTCGGCCATACATGGTAGGAAGTGTGGAGGAGAAGGAGAATGAGAAAGAGAGAGCAGTCACTCTTAAGTTGTGAATGAGATGAGGCAACAGTTGGTGGAGAAGGTCTGCTTTATGTAACAATGTATGGGAGTGTATGGGCGTCTTCTCTTCCTTCTTCCTCGCTGGGATACGCATGTGCAGATCGCTCCATTGGAATCCCGAGCGTAAAGTGTTTTATTTACTTGTAATTAATTAGGGAAGTAAGGAATTATGTCAAGTAATAATGTCATAAATAAATATATTATATCATTATACCACTCCTAGTAGGGAAATTGGTTTAATTAAGACTGCACAAAATAAACGAGAAGGGATAAGTGTAAAATTATTTTACATTGCAGTAATATCTACTGGGGTAATCAATCTGATTAAATGAGCGAGTTCAGTAGGTAGTAACGTGCCAAATAAGCAAACCCTTAAATAGAAGATTATACTTAGAAAGGAGGAGCAAATAACTGGACTCTGTAAAATTCCAATAATATGTGGAATATTTCATGTTTCAGCCTGACGCCAACTCACGGCGTCTTGGAGACTATGGAAGATTTGACAGAATATTGCGTCGCAATAGAAAACATTAATTTGGCTAATTCTACGAATTAGTAATGTTAGTAAATGCTAATGTTAGCAAATAATTGAGGGTAAAATGTACGTTATTTCCAACAGTGTATGCTATCTTTAATTGACGGTGGTTCCAACAAGTTTTTCTGTTATGATGGCTATTCTTTGTTTGATCTTCTTTTCTAAGGCTGGTAAGTTGGTTTCCATTCTTAGATTCTCTCGACGCATCCATATAGGTGCTCCCAGCATTGTTATGAGAGCATCAGTTTGAGACACTTCCAGTGTCTCCCATTGGTTATCACTGAGGGATGTAAGAGCAAGAGCAGCATAGTCAATGAGTGACCTAACTGCTTGAACGTAGTATATTTTGAGTACTGGTAGAGAAGCACCTTTTCTAAGACTTGTCATTAAGCGCAAAGCTAAGTTTCGGCTTTACATCGTTGCCGAAGATATTCAATTTCTTGAATGAATTTCAACTGGCTACCTATTATGACTCCAATTGAAATTGAAATTGAAATAAGTTTATTGAGGTAAAATACAAACAAAGGGATGAGGTAGCTCAAGCTATTCTCACCCCGTTCAGTACATCGTGTTAATACATACATAGATACACATCACAAGCAATAAACGTATTACCGAACATTCTGAGAGATAAACATATACATTTCCTCCTTTACACAAGTATATAAGTAAATGACTCCAAGGTATTGAAAGGAGGTAACCCATTCAGTTTCATGTCTTTGTATTGCGAGTCTGCTATCTTGAGTTCTCATTTTAATGGCCATTTCTTTTGTTTAATTGCTGTTTATTTTCACAGATATGCATTCTGCTTCCCTGCCGAGGATGTCTAGGCATTTTTGTGCATGGTTCCTGGCACCTTTGCCATTGATGATGACCACAAAGTCGTCTGCATAGTTAAGCAATTTGGCTTTTGGTAACTTGAGCTTCATGAATTTTTCCTTGAAACAGTTGAAGTGGAAGGGGCTTAGTATTTCTCCCTGCTGATTCCCATTTTCCATCCACTTTGAAGAGACTGTTTTTCCTAGGAATTTAACTTTAACTTATCGTTTAAACAGGGTTCCTTTGACAAAGAAAAGAGCGTGCCCTTTGATTTCCTTATTCACCAGGCAGCACAGTGTTCCTGGAGCATTGGCTAGCTTCAAGTTTTTTCTAGGTCCTGAAAAATAAGGATTCCTGGTTTGTCATTGATTTGATACAGGAGGGAGATAAATGTGTGGTTTGTGAAAGGTGTGGTTCCCACACTTTTTCTGTAAGCAAACATATTTTGGTGCAGTGGATTGGCTTTCCATTCAATTCGATTAAGAGCCATTCTTTCCGCAGTTTTGGCCATACAGCTTCTTAATGAGATAGGTCTTCAATTTCTTGAATCTTTGGATTTGGGAATTGGAACTATAATTGCGCTATTCCAAGAGAGTGGTCAAGTTCTTGTCACCCATACTCTGTTGATGAGATTCAGGAAGGGTTCTTCACCCTTTTCTCCTAGTTTGGCCAGCATGTTGTAAATGATTCTGTCCTCATTTGGAGCTGTGCTTTTAGTTTTCTTTGTAGCTCTTCTGAGTTATTTTAGATTGAAAGGTTGGTCTAGTTCGTCAAGTAAGGCTAAAGCATCGTCTATTTTTTTCCATCTTGCTGCTTGAAGTCTTTGTTGGTGAGTCAGAGTTGCTTGAGGAAGTTGAGTGGAAGTGGCTCTAGAAGCAAACAGCTAATCTTTCTGCTTATTGCTCTGGATGAACACGATGGGGCGGAGCAGGAGGCGATTTTCCTTTTGCCCTGCTCATTTGCCTCCCAATGTCGCCCAAACATGTATGCTGATTTAGCTTGGCACACCACTCGAGCCATTTTTCTTCTTTGATTTTCCTGTTTCTTCATGCACATGATCTCGGACAGCTCTAAGAAGTTCTACATTAAGTTCTACAGAAGCTCTAAGACATTTGCCTGGCGTTCCACGAGCGCTTTGTCATGGGTTCGTATCCTGGCCGGGGAGGATTTACTGGGCGCAAATCCTTAACTGTAGCCTCTGTTTAACTCAACAGTAAAATGGGTACTTGGTTGTAAAAACGATTCTTCGCGGCAGGGGATCGTATTCCAGGGACCTGCCTGAAACGCTACACGTACTAGGGACTGTACAAGAATGTAACAACTCTTGTATATATCTAAAAAAAAAAAATGATTTCTTACTAGTATTAAAGTGCCTCTGGTGCCACCTTGTGCAATTGGACAGTGGTAACCTTGGTACCCTTTGATATTAATACTTCTTTCAGTCCTGGTAAGTGTTTCTTGAAGTAAAACAATATCAAAGTTGTCCCTAAAAAGCACTACTCTGAATGTTTGAACTTTATTTTAGAATCCTTGAATATTACATTGTATAATCTTGAGCTTGTCGTTATTGTCCATTATTCTGTTAGAGTTGAATACATTGAGGCCATGGTGGCTTCTAATGTGCTGATTTCTCCGACATCTTGTGTCTTCTTTGCTGGAGTTCCCCATCTTCTACTTCGTCGTCATTTTCCGGAAGGGCTTGTTGAAGAGTGGAGGAAACAAGTTCAGTAGATTTTTTTTACCTCTATTAACATTTCCGTCCTTGACTGAGGGTTGGTCTGTGCTAGTGCTTGGAATGCTTTGTCAAGCATCTTGTTCAAGATATCTGTCAGGGAGGCAATAACCATTGGAATGGAATAGTGGTCACTTGATATTCCTTTGGCTGCCTTTCGTTTGACTTGGTATGTGAGGAGACTCTGGGTTCAGTCGTGGTGTCTTTGCTGCATCCAGCTACTGGAGAATTTGATGATGTAGATGTTATCGTCCGTGCTTGAGATATCCTGCAGTCAATTGCAGGTGGATTAATTTTGCTGCTCCCCTGTTGTTCGAGGTCCTATTGTTTAGACTAGAATGAATAGGTGCTCTGTTGAGTTTACCATGTTGTTTGTTGTTGTTTTAGATTTAGATACTCAGAACGAAGTTTCCATGTAGCACGAGCTATAGTGAGCCCGTAAAGTTTATCGACTGATAAAGATAGAGCCACCCGAAAGGTGTCCCGGGCATGAATAGCCCGTAATTAAAAAAAAAGTTTACCATGTTTGGTACAGGCTTATATTCTCTTTGGGTGAGGCGGTAAAGACCAAATGGATGTATAGCATAATAAAGGGAATATTTATGCCCAAGTATCAACATGGGCATCTTATGTTCGTGTGTATGGTTGTGTTCCTAAGGCAGGTTCATTGGATCATGTCTCTGCATTGGCTCGGGGTCTTGAAGTGGGTTGAATGTAATTATGTGTTAACTGATGGTTGATTGTTGGCCTTGATTTTTTGATGTGTAGGGCCTCGCTGATGTCCAGTGTTCTGCTGTCGTTATACCTGTTGATTATTTCAGTGTTTTTGTTAAGAAGTTACTCTAATGTCTCTAATGAAGATTTTGTTATGTGTAGAGATTATATGCTCCTTGATGGATCCCTGTCGCTTGTGCATTGTTAATCGCCTAGAGAGAGACGTAGTTGTCTTGCCTATATATTAAGATCTTTAGGGCTATTAGTCCCCAAGAGGGCATGTGAAGGCATAGACGACGTTGGTTTCGTTTAAAGCGTTCTGTTTGGTATCTGGAGAGTTCTTCATAAATAATTTGGCAGTCTTCTTGTTTTATTTACTAATGAAGAGCGCCACCAACTTAAAGATGTCAAGAGTCTCGCTAAAGCAATAATAAGAACATAAAAACATAAGAATGAAGGTAACTGTAGAAGGCCTATGACCCCATACGAGGCAGCTCCTGTTTATATCCACCCAATCTCATTCATATATATGCATAAGAATTGCAAAAGCTTCACAGTTATTGCTGATAGTAGCTTTGCTGGCGCCAATCTAGAGTAAATCAAGCACCCATTGTGTTAATGGTTAAGTTGTAATAATTACTGTTAAGCTTTATGCGGTTTTTCCGTTGAATCACTTTTAAATACTGCCATTACTCGAATTTAAGCCTTCAGCCCCCAAGTGTCTGGAACACCGAACTGCTTATTAATCACTAAACTATACATATATGATGACCCAAAGAGGAGTCCCTTAAAGTGCTTCAGTTGCATTGAGGAAATTCCCAGGACATAGTGATGCAAATCTGAGAAGAGACTACCCAGGACTCTTACTCGACCATGCACCCAGATCTGTACGCTTCCTCTCCTATTGCTGGATTCCCTCAGCTTTGTGAAGCGTCTGCCATATGCGCATTGAAGGCGTTGCATGCAATTGCAGTCAGCATAAAGCAAAATCCCACATCCCCGAAACCAATCATGTGAGCTGTAGTGTTCCCAACCCAGAGAAGGGTCATGACTATTTGTTTTCTATATTACAACATTATAGTACTAATAATTCTCTTTTATCAAGGAAATTATTCTCTTTTATTATATTTTATTATTAATTTTATCTTTTATTAATTATTAATTTTATCTTTTATTTATAATTTATCTCTTTTACACTATATGTATAATATTATTTGGGACTGGAAAAATGCCATTATCGTTAAAATTTCAGTAAACACATCATTCTGCTCTCAACACCGATACTGTCGACTAAAGTAAAATCTAAATTATTAAGCCTTGAAAGCATAAAAAATACTAAAATAAGACACAATAGGTGATAGCCAGTACCTGTATACATTGAGCAGCATTACATGTATATATTGCGCAAAGTTTACCATAGACAAACCTTGAATATGTACTAGTATAGTACTTCAAGTTATTGATCTACAGAAGTACTATGGGACCTGAAGAAGGGTTGCATAATGTTTTTAAATTATAAATTATAATGTAACTTTGGCTTGAAAGCCAATGATTTATGATTTTCTCCTGGGCTTTTTCGCCTGCTTTGCCTGCTGCTGCTGTTGTTGCTGCTACTGCTGTTGAGGGAAACATAGGTGATTGAGCCCTGCTTGACGCCACTCAGCAGACAACAGTTGTTCGTGGAGCGTTACTCTGACCTTCATGGTCACCTCTTCCACCTCGCCAGCTGGACAGACGACTTTCCTTACCTCTTCTATGATAATGGTGAGTGAGCACTGTTTATCCTGGAGCATCAGTGGGGTCTTTTAATGGCGGAGCTTGAAGAGAAATTAAAAGGTGGTATATTCAGTTCGTGAACTTTGCAGAAGAATACTGACCTGCCACATATTCTACTAAAATAGACATATAAACTTAAATATTTAGGCTCAAATCAGTTACATAATATATGCTGGCAGGGAAAGTATTTTTTTCATTTAAATCTAGATTTTATAAACTTTAAGTACAGATGAAAATGTAAAGCTTGAAATTCACTTAAATGAAAACTTTAAGAAAAAGTTTATGATTTATATAACTAAAATTCATAAGTAATTTACCTAATCCTGAACAACGTGTATTAATAAATAACTAATCTTGTCATTCGCCTTGGGCACTAGGAGCCTGGAACCCCCATTCTGAAGGTCGAGTGTGTTTCGGGCCTGTGGTGTTATAGGGCTGACAGTATACTTACTACACATATGCTAACACGCCCTCCAGCTGAGGTGGACTAAGTCTGTCCCCCCAAGGGAAAGTATTTCCAAATTAACTTGTTAAAATTCCACTACAAACTGGACATAGGTTATGAATTAGTAGGTGTAATTATTGGCTTTATTATCACAGAATCCACTACCCACAACAAAACCCCTGGCATTGACATTTACTCTATGTACCGAACCTCCCATCGATAGAGATTATGAATTACAACCAAAATATTCTAGACATACCCACAAACTTCTGATGGAAGCATAGTATAAAGTTCCCTCTAAACCCCACAACACAATATATATGCTCTTCAAGCTCACTTCTACTAAACAAAAACATTTTGGAGTCTACTTAAAGTTGCAATATTACATTAACTATGCATGTAAAGAGTGGTGGTCGATAAATAATGAAAAGAGAGGATTTAACTGTGTTACAACCCTTGAGACTTAGTAAGGTTCTTTACCCGCAGTGATCAGAGTATAAGAAAATCGGCCTTGCCAACAAGTGTCTAGGGGGGTGAAGGAAACACTGCATAAACGGGTAAACAATGTACTACACTAAGAGTGACAAAACATAACAATTAAATGGTAAAAATATATCAGCCAGAAATATTCTTTAGCATGCAATAATATAAATAAAAATCCTTATTGAGCAATGACCATAATCACCAGCACATGAATTAATAAATGGGATAATTACACAATCATCTACCCAGAGAATTAACCGAGTATTTAGCTAAAATAACAATAACCGCTGACTTAACTTAAATACATGTCTCCTCTCGATCAACTCTGCCACGCCTCTGACAAAGCATCTGTTCCCAGGGCAGGCGTCCTACCACAAACATCAACTAAGCATCCGCCTGACTCTTGTGAACTCTACTAACAAAGTATAGTACAAATAACTCAATGATGGGTAAACTAAAGAGTATAAAATACTGTTACATTACTCAATATAATTTACTGGCAAACAATAATAAGAATTAATCAAGGTTGAACTATAAACACTCGCTTGACAACAAGTTCCCACACTGGCCACATCCAAATATGGTCATCCCCCGCACGGAGAAACAAACAGGAATTTACTTGCAAAAAGCCTCATACAATATAATGCAACTCAGGCACACTACAGCATGCTACAGTATATAACATACAATAGTCTATAATCATACAACTGGATACTATACTAATTATAGAACAAGACAATAAAGTATATAAGCATCAGGAGTAATGTTAGAATCCTTGTAAGATTCGTAACAAACTGCCATAAGGATTCCGACAGCATGCACATCTCCTGTGCTAGGTAAGTATGACGGGGCTCACCATAGCCCGTACTACTTCGAACCTTCTGTCCCAAGTAGCAGAATCTAAAAAAAAAAAAAAAAAAAAAAAAAAAAACATAATACACCCAACAGGTCAGCCAGCCAGTTACCAATGAACAAACAGCGTCTTCAGTCAGCCGCTGTCTTTCCAAATGTTGTATAATAACAAATAATTCTACAATTGTATTACCACCAGCAAATTTATAAAACTTTGTCTTAACATGATAAATTCTTTTGGCGGATTAATAATTAACTATTTCACAGACTTTCGTCTCTTAGAATCAGCCAGTAGCTTATATGGTATATATTCATGATACAAAGATAGCCCCGTAGGCATAACCGTTCTCACTCTCCACACTCCAACATATTATTTGGTTAATCAAAATATCTGTTGTTTCTTAATAGAGACCACCCTGGTCATAACACTCATCCACCCACCCAGAGTACATTTTTTTCAGATGGTACATTTGATACTTAAACTGTTATCTACAACAGAATTTACATAAAAGTACATAATATAAAATATTTTACCATAACTAAGAACTATCACTAGCATCTCTATTACAGTTATTTGTATTCAACATCGGTTTCCTGGGCAGTGCATCTGTAATTACATTTAGTCTGATGACTAAACTACACATCAGAAAATGGGAAAATGGTGACATTTTGGCCCATCCCGGTGAACCATTATCAAGTTGTGTTATACATACAATGGATACAAAGGATCTGAAGAACCTTATCGAGAAAAAGAGAGCGGGTACAAAAGGATTAAGTATGGCGAAGTCAGTTTACATCAAGAATTCGACAAACTGGTTGGAAATATTAAAAAGGAAATAAGGAAGCCATACGGAAACTATGAAGTTTGTATAGCAGGTCAAGCAAAGATAAATCCTAAAGTTTTTTTAAGTTATATCGAACAAAAATTAGGGAATGGATAGGCACATTAAAAACTGAGACAGGTCAGATAACTGATATTGGCGAAGAGATGAATAGTATTTTAAATTAAGATTTTATCTGTATTTACAAAGAAGAACTTAACATTATTCAGACGAACAAGTCTATATTGGTGGGGAGAGAACATGTTGACTAGCTTAGTAGTTACCAGGGAGGATGTTATTACACAAATAGTAAAACTCATGCCAAACAAATCCCCAGGGCCGGACGAAGTATTTACCAGGGTACTTAAAGAATGCAAAGAGGAGCTTTGCAAGCCATTAGCTACCATATTTAACAAATCATTAGAGACAGGCAGAGTGTCGGAATCGTGGAAGGTTTCTAATGTGGTACCAATTTTCAAGAAAGGAGATGGATCACTTGCGTCAAGCTATCGGTCAATTAGCTTGATAGCTGACATACCTGATTCTATGTTTATATGGACTGGAGGCATGCTGCAGTAATGAAAAGCCAAAGTTCAGAAATATTCCGTGAAGAATGTATACTCATAGCCACTAAATAAAACAACAGGACTAGCCAGGAAATAGACCTTAATTCTAGATATATGCAAAAATAGCTATCCACATAAAAAATATTACTAATGGATGCAGGTGGGTCTTAAGAAGTATCTAGTATGCTTGATGTAATAGTGTAATAACAGCCGCCCACCACGGCTGAGGGGACACCAGGAGCCAGCCGCCCACCACGGCTGAAGGGACACCAGGAGCCAGCCGCCCACCACGGCTGAGGGGACACCAGGAACCAGCTGCCCACCACGGCTGAAGGGACACCAGGAGCCAGCCGCCCACCACGGCTCAGAGTGTTACAAGGGTTCTTGTAACACAAAACCCTTGTGTTACAGTAGTTAATCTCACATGAAAACCATCAATAATGTAAACATGTAATGATATACCACATATTAGGTACTAAACATCATCAGGTCATTTTGATAATTAATTAAAACATAAATATACTGGGTATAGTGTGATCTCTCATGTGGTCTGTGGTTACGTTCTGAGTTTCTTAGTAGAGCGGCGAGACGGAGGATACAATCATATTGTGAAATATTTGAAACTAAATAACTTAGAGTTAAGCCGCATGACAGCAGACACGGGATGAGGCCGCCTAACAATTCGTACAACTAAATGTAATGATGAAAAGAAATTGAAAGATCTTAAGTTTATCGATAAATCCGGGTTCCTTTTACACGTAACACATTTATATTGACATTCTAACTTATAAAACTTACATATTTGCCCTTGTTTGATCTAGGAACATATCTTGAGGTTATCTTCAGATGATTTCGGGGCTTTTTTTTTTTAGTGACCCCGCGGCCCGGTCTTCGACCAGGCCTCCACCCTCCAGGAAGCAGCCCGTGACAGCTGACTAACACCCAGGTACCTATTTTACTGCTAGGTAACAGGGGCATAGGGTGAAAGAAACTCTGCCCATTGTTTCTCGCCGGCGCCTGGGATCGAACCCAGGACCACAGGATCACAAGTCCAGCGTGCTGTCTGCTCGGCCGACCGGCTCCCGATAAAGCACTGAAATGTACTGAAACACTGTACAAAGTACAGTGTACACAGTAGTACAAAGTACAAAGTGCACTGTACACTGTATAAAACACTATAAATCACTGTACATGCACTGAAATTTGTAAATTAACAACTATATCCATATACTTCAGAGAAAAGAGCAGCGGGGATTGGTGTGGCGATGCTGCAGGAAACCTCCCTACGTCTCAACTTCACCTACAGTCTCCAGGAGGTCCCTCCAGACGGGCACTGGGCCGAGCTGATCAACGGTATGTGGACGGGGCTGCTGGGCCAGGTGGTGCGTGGGCAGAAGGACTTTATCATCAACGGCATGGCCGTCGTCCGTGACCGCTACCAGGCGGCCGACTTCACTGTTCCCTATTTCAGTGACTCTTATAGTATCACATTAAAGGTAAGGCATCGTCATGGGTGCACAGGAGGAGTCATGTGTTCAAGTCTTCATCGGTCGTTTAGTGGATAGACTCAACTCTATTGACTCTGTTCATATCTGCTGCTGATACTATGAATTTGCCTCTGCTGTAACTCATTTTTATTCATTCCACTTGCTCAAAGTTCAGATTGTAAGGAAATATTCACTTCAACTCGATGACTCTTCTGATTTCCATTTTCTGTTAATTATTTTTCATCCTGCTCATGTTTTTCATATATTTATATCTATCATGTTTCTTATAGCTATCCATTTTTTGCAACAATATAGGGACAAATTTAATTAAACTATAATTAAATACCTTATCGTTGTTTTGTTAAATATTTTTGTACATGAAAGTATATAATTTTAAAATTTGCTTATGTGTTTCCTGATGTGGAGATTCCAAGCACGCATTCGATGCTCTAGTTTCCATTAAAATAGCTTACATTTTTATGGGGGGGGGGGACGGGAGACATCTTTCGTCTCACAGGGTGCAGCCGAGTAGTGGGGAGTATGTCCACCACCGGGCGTTTTAATTTTTTCCTGGGCCGGTCGTAGCACTTTGGTTTTTTCCTGTTTTCCCCCCTGCTGGTCATAGCATCATAGGTTTTTCTCGATTTTTTTTCCTGGGCCGGTCGTAACATCAGGGTTTTTCTCAATTTTTTTTCCTGGGCCGGTCGTAGAATCATGGGTTTTTCGCGATTTTTTTTCTGGGCTGGTCATAGCATCAGGGTTTTTCTCAATTTTTTTTCCTGGGCCAGTCGTAGCATCAGGATTTTTCTCAATTTTTTTTTCCTAGGCCGCTCGTAGCATCATGGGTTTTTCTCGATTTTTTCCTGGGCCGGTTGTAGCATCATGGGTTTTTCTCGATTTTTTTCCTGGGCCGGTCGTAGCATCATGGGTTTTTTTCGATTTTTTTTCCTGGGCCGGTCGTAGCACCCTGGGTTTCTCAATTTTTTTTTTACAAGTCGCTCTATGACCCCTGCCATTTAGCTCAAGGGGATTAAAAGGCCGGTCCCTGTCATAGTCGAATTTCGTTACCCCAGTGACCCATGCACAGGCATCGCGAATGGTCAATGACGTCACCAGGTAGCCGCTCAGTGACCCTGCACAGGTTTTCACATTCAAGGAGATTAAGAGGACGTGACTTGGCGCACCAGTTTTTAGTTACCTCTGCTAGTGATTGCCTTATAGTTCATGAATCCATTCAGTCACACCTCTATCATATTACATCTATTTCTTCGCCTTTCTAGAGAATGTAATTTAAGCTTTGTCAATCTTTCTTCGGAGATTGCTTATTGAGCATAGGGCAAAAGAAAAATGAAAACCCACTAACATCCATTTGTAAGAAAACAGTCCTTTGCTAGACATTGTGACTTCAATATGATTTCAGTAGTAATCCAATATTACTGCATAAATATACATATGCTATTCTCACATTCCCTCAAAAAACATGCCTCCCCACACCTTGCTGTAGCATATAACAAATCAAAATACTCATTCAGTGATCATATATATGGACTACATTGAGTAAAAAGCAAGCCTCTCATGTTTTGAAATAAGGCCTTCTGCAGTTACCTTCTCTGACGTCATCATCCCTAATGCGGTGCGAGGCGCCAATATTCTAAATGAGGATCCCAGGAGGTTCACACATTAGTACGAACCCTTCATCAGGCTTAATACCTCAATTGTACTCTGCTTCATCAGACGATATTCAGCTACATTGGCTCGTATTTTTGCTCATTGCTCATATTTTCTGTTATTCATTTCATAAACCCTATCAAACCATCCTAACCTAACTTATTATATAACAAACACATTCTACAGACCAGTTGTTGTTGTTTAGCGACATCACGAAAAGCGGCCTAAGTATAGAGATAGGATATTATTAGCATATAAGTGTTAAGATACCACAGCACCTGACTGTTCAACTATGTATGACGTCACCAGATGGCCAATGTGGCCTTTAGCGTTCTACTGGGATATGTACTGTATTTAATGTTATTATTCAAAAATGGCTAGACTAGCCATCCCCACCTAACCTAATCAGAGGTTTGAGTTTATATATTTTAGTCAACCCAACCAAATTATCCAACTTCGCTATATTGTATCTATCAACTCAACCATGTATATTTGTGAAATTTGCAAGGCTCCTAAACTAGGACCATTCCACCTGTGCCAGGCGAGATGTGCTGAATGTAGGATAACCTTCACCGCCAATCCTTGGCATCAGTGCGTTATTTACCGTATGCAATGTTCAGAGATATCTCGTGGACATTATGATAACATTTGTCCCCTGTGCTCCAAAGTGATTTGTGCTACCCGTAAGTATACTTGTGGTTATAACATTTGTTACGCGTCATAGTATATTTATAGATACTATAGAAAATTGATCAATAGCAACAAAATTTATATATGAATTATTATTTACAATTAGTTGTAGAGCTATACATCTATGCAGCATTCCTTAAAAATATATATGTATAACTATATAAATTGATTGAAATCTACAGGTCGCCACCTCGATGCATGTCCATTTTGCATGTATCTAGATGACCCCGAGTCTGATACTAGTTCTGATTCAGAGTACTCAGATGTATCATCGCACCAAAGCGTCCAATATGAAACTAAGTCAATTACACTATTCTGCTATGCCATTCCCAATTCCTGTCAGATATATTTATATAAATCTCATTTATCATCATCAATTATTATCATCATTATCATTTATATGATTTTAGGCTCGCCAACTCAGCAAGTAGTGGAGGTGGAGGAAGAATATCCTCGTTGAGGACATGGTGAAGAGCCTAGCACGAACCAAGCTCGCTCTCGAACACCAGAAGATAATTACAACAGGGAAAGTTCTAATTGTAAGTAACATCCTCAATAATTATTAATATCAGCATATTTCAATAACGACATTATTATTATTATTAAATTTCCTATAGATTTTATTTTATTTATTGAAATCATTATTCTTGTTACTTATAGGTTCGCAACTGGAGGACGAAGAAGACTCCCTGCATTTGGTTTGGGAAGCAGATTCTGATATGGATGCCAGCCAGCCTATCGCTAATTCCCCCCCACCACCTCAGGAACAGCAGCAGCAGCAGGTAGATGTTGTACTTCCTCCTCTACCAGAAGTTTTAGAAGTGATCAATAATTTCAATGGGGGGTACAAAATACAAGTCACAGCTTCGTATCATTCTTTGCAGATGACACAAAAATCAGTATGAAAATTACCTCGGCTGAGGACATTGAAAAACTTCAAGCTGATATTAATAAAGTTTTCGACTGGGCATCAGAAAATAACATGATGTTTAACAGTGATAAATTCCAGGTACTCAGGTACGGTAAAAATGAGGACCTTAAACATAATACAGAGTACAAAACACAATCAAATGTACCCATAGTAGGAAAACAGCATGTAAAGGATTTGGGAATAATAATGTCTGACGACCTAACGTTTAAGGAGCATAACCAAGCAAATATTGCGACAGCCAGAAAAATGATAGGATGGATTACGAGAACTTTCAAATCCAGTGATCCCATCACAATGGTTTTACTCTTCAAGTCACTTGTGTTGTCCCGTCTTGAGTACTGCTCAGTACTCACTTCCCCCTTCAGAGCAGGAGAGATTGCTGAAATAGATGGAATACAGAGAACATATACGGCACGCATAGACGCAATAAAGCACCTAAATTATTGGGATCGTCTCAAAGCCCTCCAAATGTACTCACTAGAAAGAAGACGAGAGAGATATCAAATAATATACACCTGGAAGATACTGGAGGGCCAAGTACCAAATCTACACAGTAAAATAACAACGTACTGGAGTGAACGACATGGAAGAAAATGTAGATTAGAACCAGTGAATAGCAGAGGTGCCATAGGCACAATCAGAGAACACTGTATAAACATCAGAGGTCCGCGGTTGTTCAACGTCCTCCCAGCAAGCATAAGAAATATTGCCGGAACAACCGTGGACATTTTCAAGAGGAAACTAGATTTATTCCTCCAAGGAGTGCCGGACCAACCGGCCTGTGGTGGGTATGTGGGCCTGCGGGCCGCTCCAAGCAACAGCCTGGTGGACCAAACTCTCACAAGTCGAGCCTAGCCTCGGGCCGGGCTTGGGGAGTAGAAGAACTCCCAGAACCCCATCAACCAGGTATCAACCAAGTATCAACATACGCCATTCATATAGCATCCCAGATTATGCCCAAGGAGATCCTGCCCATTATTTGACTATATATCATGATTATTTATCCGGCAATTAGAATCCTTATTTGATGCCGTTCATCCCAGTTTCCCTCCTGCCCTTTTAATATACCTTGATTTTTCTTTTAATTTACAACGGCTTAATCAAGAAAATGAACCTGATTTTGAGGGAGAGTTGCCCATAAGGGCTGAACAACGCACTGTATCTAGGCGTGATGCTAGTTTTGTCATAGATCAATGGATCGCTGAACTGGATAATAAGTTAGAAGAGTTCCTTGCCGAGACAGAAGGTTCGAGTCTAGCTATTCTGAGCATTTCTGATTTTTATATAAATTCTATTGCTCTTCAGCATCCCGTCCGTCTAGGTAATTATGTACCGTATCCAGATGGATTACGTGGTAAACAACTTATTTTCAACCCTAAAGGTGAACAAAATGCTTCTTTGATCCAATGTTTGGCAGTATACGTATGCCTAGCTCAGGGGATGATATTAGATAATATCAAAAAACGTTCCAAGTCAGCCAGGTGGTGTCTCAAATTCGTTCGTTGGAGTAAAGATATCAAAATACCCATCACGTATGAGAACATCAATAAAATAGAAAGCATAAATAAATTAAGTATATTTATCTATGTGCTCACTCGTGAAGATAATAGGTACTACATTGATATTTAGTCACATCTCGAGACAAATTCCAAAAGCTTGCACGTAATCCGTTCATCAATCTTCGCTCAACAAAATACATCGTTTTGAAGAATGGATTACG